CGTGTCATCTCACACTCTCTCTCTTCTGTATTCTCAACACCTCTCTCTCTCTCTCTCTCTCTCTCCTATTGATAACCTCTTACCTCTGTGAAATCCAACCCAATCATTTTTCTCTCTTCATTTATATATCCCAAGATAAGTGAAATATTTACCAATTACCACCAGAGAGAGGGGGAGAGAGAAGTGTTGAAATCTTTTTGTCTTAATTCATATGATAATTGGGTTTCTTTTCCACAAGACAGAGAAAGAATCTTGAAAAATCTTCCTCTCTGCAGACAAATGGGAAATGGATTAGAGAGAGAGGTGTTGGCAAATCTGGGAATTGTGGGAATTGGGTTTTCTTCGCACCGGAGAGAAAGATTGGGGTGTCTCTATGTATACGATGTATTTGGGAGGAGAGAGAGGAGATAAATAGGAAACATGGAGAGAGAGAACATGGGAGAGATGGGAAACATGGAGAGAGAGAGAGAGCGGGAGGAGAGAGAGATGGAAACATAGAGAGAACGGGAGGAGAGAGAATGAGGGAGAATGGTAGGAGAGAATGAGGGGAGAGAGATGGGAAATATGGAGAGAGAGAAAGCATGCGGGGAGGGAGGAGAGAGGGGAAGAGATGGGAAACATGCAGAATGAGAGTGGGAGGAGAGAGTGAAGGGAGAGAGATGGGAAAGATAGAGAGAGAAGGGGTGTAGGGAGGGAGGAGAGAGGAAGGAGAGATGGAAAACATGTAGAGCTAGAATGGGAGGAGAGAGTGAAAAAGTTTGGGGCGTCTCTCTGTATATTATGTATTTGAGAGGAGAGAGAGGAGGAGAGAGATGGAAAATATAGAGAGAGAATAGGAGAGAGAGATGGGAAATATATAGAGAGAATAGGGAGGAGAGAGAGTGAGGGAGAGAGATGGGAAATATAGAGAGAGTGACCCGGAGGAGAGAGAAATGGAAAATATGGAGAGAGAGAACTGGAGTATACTGTATATTTGGGAGGAGAAAGAAAGGGGAGAGAGATGGGAAACATGGAGAGAGAGAATGGGAGGAGAAGAGATAATATGGAGGAGAGAGTGAGGGGAGAGAGATTGGAAATATGGAGAGAGAGAACGGGAGATGAGAGAACAGGGAGGAGAGAGAGTGAGGGGAGAGAGATAGAAAACATGGAGAGAGAGAATAGGAGGAGAGAGAGTGAGGGGAGAGAGATGGGAGAGACAGAGAGAGAAAGGGTGTGGGGAGATAGAGAAAGAGAGAAGTTTGGGATGATGGTTTTAAGAAAATGTATGTTTTTTTAGATTTGGGGTTTTTTTAGATTTGGTTGGCTCAAAAAAACAGACTTTAAGCTATTTTTTAAAACCTTGGGTCTATTGTGAAATAAAATCTAAAAATTGAGGGTATGGAGATATTTTTTTTAATTTTATAGCCTTCACAACTTTCTTATCGGTGAATCCACTTTTTGTCCATTAACAGGAGACAAGAGTTTGCAAAAAATATCTTATGGATAACAGTATTGGATTTTGAATTATTATTATCTTTTTTTTCAAATCGAGAAGCATTGGCCCCTCAATCAATCCAACTTGTGTGCTTATATGTTAGGGTAATGAGTCAGCAAATTAATGATTTTCTTTTATGGTGTCGATTATTTTTTAAATATTTTTTTTTTGTGAACATTGCTTTTCAAAAATTTTTATGTAGTTAGTTTTATTACTAAGCCAAATAACCTCCCAGGAAACCTCCATCTTTCTTCTCCTCTAGATAATTATTCTACTCAAGATTTTTTTTTTTTTTGGGTAATTTGTTTTTGGGTAATTCAGTGGAAAGATATGCTGCTATCTGTTTTTTCAAATAGATTAGGATTAACTTTTTTAAAGTATTAAGTGGTGTCAGTAGGATTAGAAGCCACAATGTGATA